CCCGGAGGTGGGGGGGGGGGGTCCAGGGGGCCTATTTGCAGGGGGGGGCTTATATTTTTGCCCATCAGAAAAATGTGGCATGGCCTTATTATCAGGACATGTCGTATTTTGGGGGAAACACGGTAATGTCATCAGTATGAGTAAGTGTGGGGCTTTCTGCCTGTTTATAAGCACAATGGTATCCAAAGGAATATTTCAATCCGGCATCATTTGTGGGATGGAATGGGATACTCTCCTCTCCTTTCCTCTCCTCCCCTCCACTCTATGCTGATTCTGTTCTGTTCTCTTTTGCTCTACTCTACTCTACTCAACTCTATTTTCTATTCTATTCTATTTTACTCTACTCTATGCTGATTCTATTCTGTTCTGTTCTGTTCTGTTCTACTCCACTCCACTCCATTCCATTCCACTCCACTCCACTCTATGCTGATTCTGTTCTGTTCTCTTTTGCTCTACTCTACTCTACTCAACTCTATTTTCTATTCTATTCTATTTTACTCTACTCTATGCTGATTCTATTCTGTTCTGTTCTGTTCTGTTCTACTCCACTCCACTCCATTCCATTCCACTCCACTCCACTCTATGCTGATTCTGTTCTGTTCTGTTCTCTTTTGCTCTACTCTACTCTACTAAACTCTATTTTCTATTCTATTCTATTTTACTCTACTCTATGCTGATTCTATTCTGTTCTGTTCTGTTCTGTTCTACTCCACTCCACTCCACTCCATTCCACTCCACTCCACTCCACTCCACTCCACTCCACTCTATGCTGATTCTGTTGTTCTGTTCTCTTCTCTTCTCCTCTACTCAATTCTATTTTCTATTCTACTCTACTCCACTCCACTCCACTCCACTCCATGTTTATTCTATTCTGTTCTGTTCTGTTCTGTTCTACTCCACTCCATTCTGTTCCGTTCTGTTCAATTCCACTCCACTCTATTCCACTTTACTCTATGCTGATTCTGTTGTTGTTCTCTTCTATTCTCCTCTACTCAATTCTATTTTCTACTTTACTCTACTCTACTCTACTCTACTCCACTCCACTCCACCTTTATTCTATTCGATTCCATTCCATTTTCGATTCCATTCCATTCTATTCTTTATTTCCTTCTGCATCTTGTCCAAAAGAGGCAGTCCATAGCTTTCAACAGTTCATTTAGTGAACATTTAAAGATACAACACCATTGAAAAATGTGACTTATGACCCCTTTTCAGATATATGGCCATTGCAGCCTCTCCATGGTCAAAATTGATCAAAATTCCTACGCTTGGCAAATAAATGCCTCCTATTTAGGGTGTCTGCAGTGTCCCTGGGGTCCCACTTTTTGCGGCCTTCTGAGGAGCAGTCAATGGGCAAGCCAGATTTGCTCAACCGCTGGGTCACTAACTTCACATGGGCAGCAATTCACTTAACAACAGTGGCAAGAAAGGTCATAAAATGGGGCAAAACCCATTTATAACCGATGTCTCACTTAGCAACAGAAACTTTGGGCTCCAAGGTAGTTGTATGTCAAGGACTATGGTGTTTCCCTGAAAACAGGGTCTTATTTTGACCCTCGAAATAAGCACTTGGCCTTGTTTCAGGGAGGCATTATTATTTTTGAGGTGAGGGAGGCAGCGAGCGTGGTCACCTGGTAGCTGCTGCTGCGTTGCAATATTTTCAGGGAGGGCTTATTTTCGGGGAGGGCTTATTTTCAGGGAAACAGGGTACCTGTATATAGGTCAAATTGATAGATCTATGTTTTGTCCTTTCTCCCCTTTTAAATTACAAAAAAAATATATTCCAGAAGTTGGGAACACTCCAACATGGAAGTTTTTAAGAAGAGGTTGGATAGCCATTTGTCTGAAGTGGTGTAGGGTTTCCTGCCTGAGCAGGGGGTTGGACTAGAAGACCTCCAAGGTCTCTTCCAACTCTGTTATTCTATTGCATTCTAACATTTGCAGGAAGAGAAAGAGCAGGAAGGATGCTGTCTATCCCACTTCAATCAGATTGAAAACATGGTTACAAAAGCAGTTTTGGACAATTTGCCCCTCTGTCCCTCTAAGGCCGGGGAGGTGACATTTCTGAGATTTTAAGGGATAAAACGACTGGCGGGCATTTAAGTCCACTGTACAAGCATGGCTCAGCAGATTTCTGGGAAGGGAACATACCAGTGGTGCAATTCAGCCGGTTTTGTCTCTGTTCGGGTGAACCAGTGGCGGTGGGAGGCCCCGCCTACCTGCTCATCATCACGTCCTGTTTTTGATGCTCTGCGCATGTGCATACACTCACATTTTTGAACCAGTAGCGAAGGTAAATTGATTTCACCCCAGAACATACCTTACTCTTTGAACTTTGTCTCGGGGCTCATAATTTAATTAGGGCATCTTTTGGAAACCTCACACCCAGTTTTGTTTATTCAGGTGTGGTTACCTGTCATTATCTGTGTTGATAGGGAGATGGTTCTTCTGCCATATGATCATGGGCTCTGGCAAGCCATGGATCTGGCACTGAAAGCGGGCAACACCTCCTTCCTCCACGACTGCACTCTGGGGGTGCACATGGAAGTCAGACATCGCTAGAAGAGAAAGAGACACAAGACATGTTGTTCAGAATTAAGGATCTCTTTGAAAAGGGATTACCTGATGTGGCAGAACCATTGCTTTGATCCATGGTTATCGGCCCAGAGTCATGTATTTGACATCGGCGTCCATATTAGCTGTATAAATAAATAATAAACAAACTCTGCTTCCTGGAGATACCAGGTAGGTTCATGCAACATATTAAGAGGGTGATAAAATGGACTGTTTGTCCAGGTTACTGCTTTCTTGAAAGTAAAATAACGCACATGGGATGCTGGAATTAAAAAGCATAAAAATGGTAGAGAAAATATAATACATTTTTAAAGCCAGCCATATTTTTTTACTTGTAAAAAACTGGGAGAGAGAGAGAGAGAGAGGAGAAAGGAGAAAGAGAGGGAGAGGAGTGGGATAGGAGAAGGAGAAGAGAGGAGAGAGAGAGAGAGGAGAAGGCGAGGGAGAGGAGAGAGGGAGAGCAGGGGGACGGAAGGTGAGAAAGAGGAAAGGGAGAGTGTGTCTTCTGATAACTCAGGGGCTGCCACAAAGAAGAGGGAATCAAGTTATTCTCCAAAGCACCTGAGGGTAAAACAAGAAGTAATGGGTGGAAGCTACTCAAGGAGAGAAGCAACTTAGAACTAAGGAGAAGTTTCCTGACAGAACAATTAATCAGTGGAACAACTTGACTCCAGAAGTTGTGAATGCTCCAACACTAGAAGTTTTTAAGATGATGTTGGATAACCATTTGTCTGAAGTGGTGTAGGGTTTCCTGCCTAAGCAGGGGGTTGGACTAGAAGACCTCCAAGATCCCTTCCAATTCTGTTATTCTATTCTATTCCATTCCATTCCATTCTCAAGGTCACCTCTCAATTCCTTTAGGATTTAAACAAGCAGAAGCTTTGAAGGAAGGTGGAATTCCTCTCATCCAACTCTTCCCCAACTTTCAACCCAACCTTGTGGGGATGGGGAAATCCACTCTTGGCTGCTGGATGTCCACCCCTTCCTGCCCACCCTTGACAAAAGGATGTCTTTTTGTTCTGCCTCCACTCCATGTCCCCTGCAAGATGCCTTCAGGCGGCAGAGTTAATACGCGTGCATGCGTGCATGCGGGCGCCTCCACCTTCCCTCCCCTCACAACGTACATCAAAGAAAACACTAGTGCCCCCCTTCTCTCTCTCTCTCAAGGGAGAGGACCAAGATGTCAGACAAGATTCATCACTCATCTTCAGAGTCCCATTGGGCTCCAACAGATGGGAGGCTTCTCGTGTCCAGTTCATACATTAAAGATAGGCTGCCTGCCCCTCCACCCCCCTGCCCCCTCCTGGGCTCTGAGTGCCAGATCGCTGCATTTTCAGGAGAAGCCCTTCTTGCATGCTGATTCAGCCTCAGCTCTTCTCTTGCCTCCTTCTCATCCCGAAGGATGAAAACCTAACCC